ATACATTTGTGCTGTATAGCTCTTTCTTCTTTTTCTTTCTTTTGTTTCTTTTCTTTTCTCTTTTTTGCTGGCCACAAAAGTGGATAGGTTAATATTTGTTGAAAGGGAGTGATTCATAAGTTTGTCAAGTCCTTTGCTAAGTCCTTAATCTTTACTATTCCTAAAATGCAGTATGGATAAGATTCAGCATAAGTATTGATTGCATCATGAGTTTTGAACATGCCAGTTGAATAGTTTCAGCCAAATCTGGAAAATGGTAGGTGAATTGCCACTCCTCTGCAGTCTATAGGTGTAACTATAGGCAGATTTGACCTTCCAATTGCAGGTGAAAATACTGTATTTTACCGTGTAAACTATTCTATAAGGAATTTGAAAACTACATATTGGCAATTTTTTGAAGATTCATTATGGCAGTGAGAGACAGTGTTCAAAATAAAGTACTTGTTTTGGGATGCATATAAACAGAGAGGTAGGTAAATGCTTTTTATATTGCTGGCCTTTTCTAGGGGTACTGGAGGTGGCTGGCATTGTACCAACCTATGTCTGCATGTCTGGCTGCAGTCATGAAGCAGCTTCAGCATGCTGTGTTTGGGGATATAAAGAAGAAAATTGTTATGCAGGAAGTAACATGGGGAGAAGAATTTTGAGCCAACATTCAGATTATTTGTTTATTTATTTAATATAATGGCTAAACAAATTAATTCTTTGGAAGGCGAGAGACTGCTTTTGTTTGTGGTTCTGTGTGAAGACAAAAAGCCTGGTGTGCAGTATGTCATAATCTTTACAAATTCTCTATGGAAAAAGTAATAATAAGTAGTGTGATCAGAAACATCACAGTGGGGAGTGTTTGTAATTCACTTTGAAATGAGGGTTCTCTACATATAACATTAGTTTTTAGAAATCTTGAGCAACCATGGTTATTGAATCCAGCTTGCCTCACTAGCCACACTTCTAGAACATATTTACTGAGGTTGACAAAGATAAGTGTTTTTCATTGTGGTTGAAATAGCGTCATGAACTTACCACTCTTACACAACTCATTTTTAATTCTCAGATTGCAGCATGGAGATGTCTAGTCCTGTGTTGCCCCTAAAGTTTAGTTATTTTAAAGAGAGGTGATATAATGGGAGTAGGAGAACTTGTTTTGTCCAAGTTAGAACAACCTGAAAATTGTGTGCTCTAGATTTAGAACAAAGCTGAAACATTGGTAGGTCAAATTACCTTTTCCAAGACGCAGTTGGAAATTCTCATAAATATTTCTTCATGAGGTTTTTTTGTTTGTTTTTATTTCTAATCTTTATTTCATTGGTAGACCTAGAAACAAGGCAGGAATTGTTCCCAGACATGAATGTTAGTAGGCTGAGCACAGGTTTTTATTTAGACCAGAAGAAAGGAAGTTTTAAAAATAGTGGCGTAAATACAGACTTGGTAGTCCAAGTACAGACAGTCAAAAAGCCCAAGGTTGAATTGATTCAGTCTTTGCAGGTTAGGATAAGATGCAGAGATTAAACTGAAAAACAATTTGACACATGTTTACTTTTTATTCCGGAAATGCAGCCACATGCCTGCAGTGGCTCAGGCCAGAAGCTGGGGGGCAGTAGAGCATGGCTCTCTGGCACGTAGCCAGCATGGGCTGTGTGCTTGCTTCCTCTTCCTGCTGCCCCCAAGGTCTGTGGGATTTGCAGTCCAGAATCACAGCAGCAGGACTCTGCAGGGTTGCTCTTCACTTCCTCTTCCTGCTTCTACCTTCCAGATGCCCCTGGGATTTGTAGTCCACTGTCACAGCTAGCAGTAAATTTAGCAGCAGGGCAGATCTGTCCTTGGGGGAAGGTAGGTTTAACTCCCCTCCCTGGTCCCAGACCCCATCCAGGAAGGGGTCTGGGACAGAAGTTTCATAAATTGGTTTGACCCAAATCAGTTAAGTCTGATACAACTTTCAACCAGGTTTATCCTAAACCAGTTTCAGCCATTTTGAAACTGGTTTATGGGCACTGAGCTTCTGTTCTGTTACAGGTTTAGACCAGTTTCTGATCACTTAAAACAGTTTGTGTAACTTCTATTCCTAGCCCTAGAGAGCAGAGATCTGTGGCAGGAGGGTGTGTAAGTAGCAAACATGCTCACAAACTGTGACGGAATATGTGACTCTCTTTACCTGCAGATATTCTAACTCTTTCTTATAGTCAGTAGGTCACTGTTAAACAGCCAAATTTCCATGAATTGAAAATTGCAGTGAAACAAAGAATAACAAGAAAAAATAGGTTTTTCTGTAAGAGTCTAATCCTTTGAACTCTTATTCTTGTGCAAATTTTTACTCATTTTAGCAGCCCTATTGAAATAACTTTCAACTTTCTATCCAATTGTTATTAATACAACGTTGCATACTTGTAAAAAAAAATACCCATAAAATGAGCAAGCAAACACAAACCTTCCAGCAGTTTAGCAGGATGGTCTCAGGGCTTTGGAGGTCTCTTAATCACTGAGGGCTCCTACTCTGGTAGCACATCCATCAAAACAATCTCATCCATTTATGCCATACACATACTACTATTGAAATTATTAGGATTATGTATGTATCTAAAGATAGGCATGTGCTTATTTACTGTCTTTCTAAATGCAGGTTTTGCTGACCTGTTTTGAACACACCTTCACTTCCAACTAACCATTCTCAGACCTCTATAAAGACAAGCGCCTAAACATAACTTCCTACAGTAAGCAAGCACGCTGCTTGGCAAAGCCGCAAACACCTACCAAACCCTCCTATTCAAAATAAGTTAATGTGTAATAAATTGGTCTCTTCTACTCTATATAGATCCTGATAGTGCACTCATCAGCATAGCATCTGGGCAAGTTCCAGGAGTGCAAGAAGTGACATGAGTAACATTAGTCACATGTTATTTGTTTGCTTATCTTTTTCCCCTGGAGAGAATAGTGTGCAATGAGTGCCCTGTTTTGGTAGATTATTTGTGTTTTGTTATGTTGGGTTTTTTTGGTTGGTGGTTTGTTTGTTTTTATATATATGTTGCTATGTATTTATGTTAGAGAAGGCAAGACCACAAATATCTTCACTCATAGAAGGCCGCACAAGTGGAGAGCTTGCTTTAGTGAAACTAGAAATGAGATGCATGCTAAACAAATCAGATTTTCTGAAACTGAGAGGATCATTTCTTCTAGCTCATATTATCCAAAATATACCATTAAATGACAACTGTATTATAATTGTCTGGCAAGAAGAAGGAGCAACAGATTATGCAATGGCCACACCTACATGAGATGCTGACTGTGCACTCGTTACTGCGTAGTCATTTAGTGCTTGTATAAACAAGTTACTGTGCAGTAGTGTTGCCGAACAGCTTTTTCCTATCACACACTGATATTGCACAGTAGTCACAGGCTCTGTAGGTAAAATGACTGGCCAAGGGGCAGATCCTTGAGGTACCTTTGTTGAAGTCAGTGGAGTTGTAGCAGTTATTGAGCTGATGATTTTTAACCTTATTTTTTAAGGAGAAAGCATACTCTGTGCCCTGAGATGTAATTACATTTTATAAACTATTGTGAAGGAATCAGTGAAATTTTCTCTCAGCAAACTACCCTCCACAATTGTGTGGCAAACACAGCTTTTGTGTTCCTTGTGTTCCTTTTGTGTTTAAATTTAGCAGTGTGCCCCCTGGTGGATTAATTTTGCACACTCTTATAAACCGTCTTAATTAATTTCTGCTCTTTTTCTTGGTATTTATAGAAGACTGGCTGTGTAGGCTGTGCAGTTTCACTGGAAAAAGAGTACCCATTTTGATGCACGAGACATAGAGACACATTATTAGATTAAATTTTGCCAAGTGGTTTTATTTGATGCTACACCATTTTTCCCCCCATTTCAGAGTCAACATTTTTTCTATTAAAACATCTTCTTTTTCTATGTGGCAGCATCAGTTTTAGAACTAGAGCATTTGTGTAGCTTCATTGCCTATTATTTTTATTTTAATCAAGTAACGGCCTCTGCAAATTATTATATTTAGCAGTAGAGCGACACATTCTGAAATTGCTCTGACTTTAACAGTATTATCCCAGTGTGCTGAGTCTGCACTCGATATTCAGGGCTACAGACAAACTGAAAATATCTGAATTTAGCTTTGTTAAAAATCAAAACAATTTTTGAAATCTCTTTGAAACATTTTATTGAAAGAAATTTCAGTAGAACAATGGAAGTGCCTTGATCTTCTGTATTTAATAAAACACTCACCCAAGGCCAACTCTTGCTCCCATTGAAGTCTATAGGAATCTTCAACTTTTTTATTGTGGTGTCTTTTTACTTGGCTTTTTGTAAGGAATCAAAATGACATCACATCCTGTGCCCGTGGCAATACGTAGGGGGTTCATGGGGGTGCATCTGCACCCCCTGAGAGCAGCGGTGCTCCCCCTGACTGGTTGCACTTGCTGCTTAGGCAATGGGCAGTGGGGGGAGGGCAGACGGGGGCAGGCAGGGAGGGTGCCCCCCTTGCAAGTGCTAGCCAGGGAGTGGAGGGCCAGAAGTGGCCACAGCAATCAGCCGTCTCACAATCAGCTGTGCCGTCCCCCATCAGTGAGATTGGCCATGGGTCACTGACTGGTTGCTGGGGGGGAGGTGGGGGCAGCACATGCCTCCCCCCTGACTAAGGCGGCACCAGTCGCCCATGTCCTCTGAAATCATTTACTGGTAAGCCAAATGGAGAATTTGGGAGTGTTGGTTGTAGTCATGTTGGTCTAAGGACATAGACAAACAAGGTTCTTTGGTTGGATGCGGTATCTTTTATTAGACCAACTGAATAGTTGGAAAAATAGTTCTTTACAAACTTTCAGTCACAAGCACCCTTCTTCAGGCATAGGGAGAGTCTGCTGGTGTCTGTGTACTCTCTAGGGACAAATAGAAGCTTTACTGTAGAACTGGTTTTTAAGTGAGAGAGATAAGATTGAATCTTTTAACATGTAACTTCTTTCTCAAGAGTTGTCTTTTTTCTCACCTGCAGGAGCAGCTCAGAAAGGAGGAAGGAGAAATCAAGAGATGCAGCAAGGTGCAGAAGAAGCAAGGAAACAGAAGTATTCTATGAGTTAGCTCATGAACTGCCCCTGCCCCACAATATTAGTTCGCATCTGGATAAGGCATCCATAATGCGTCTGGCTATCAGTTTCTTGCGCACCCACAAACTCTTATCCTCAGGTAAGTCCTGTATAAGAAATGGGGTCAATGTAAATAGACATGAGAGTGGAAAGAGCATACTTAATATCTTTTAATGTACTAACTTGAAGTAATAATAGGATGAGCCAGAGTATGTTATGAGAACACACCTAGGTATACTGGATCATAACTCAGGGCAGTATAGGAAGTTTATAGATCTCAGAAAAAATTTGCAGTTTTTATTGTTGTCAAAAGAATGATTGAACCTAAATTCAGTATAATTTTACATAGGGTAACAAATACCTCTTAAAATGGTTAATTAAACTCAAATATTTTATATTTCAATATTTTAATCATAATTAAAATGTCTACATTATAAACTGCAGAAAATTTCTGTGCTGAGAAGTCAATCTTCATCTGGCATGGAAAGAAAGTTTGCATAAGTGCATTTAGAAGTTTGTTCTGAAACTATGATTGTCCAAAAGCTTTGTTATAGGGTTAATTGTATTATACACTGATTATAGTTGGCAAGTAGGATAATATTCAGGTAGACTTTGTGAATGGTATGTTAAAATTCCCAAGACCACAATTTGAATTCTGTTTAATATAGAAACTATGCACTTAGTTCGTATTGGAGCCATGTGAAAGTGCACATAGCATGTTGGATTTCTTAGCCTGTGTAAACTATGGTAACATTTTGGAAATGTTATAATCTTCACCAGAATTTCTAAAAGTGTACTTGTCAGGGCTGTCAGAGCAGCACTAGAAATTTATGATGCCAGCAATGTACAAAGTGAATGAAAGCAACTATAAGAGAAGTTTCCATTCTTTATTCTGATTTGTGGCAGAGACTACTCCATATATTTAGCATTATGAAACAAAACATTAAGGATGTGAAATGGTTTCATTTCTTGTTTGGAGGCAGGACAGTTCGAATGTTACATTTAATGGGATGTGAAGGAGGAACTATGACACTTGAAATCGAGGTTACTTATTTCTTTGGACTAAACAATTGTAGAACAGCATCAATAACTTAATAATTGATCTGAATATTTACATATTTTCTATAATTATCAGATCTTGCAGGCCACAAGTCTTGAACTTTTTGTGGTGACTTTCATATGATGATTTCCAAAGCACTTAAAATCCAAGGGTACATACAGAAGTTACATTTTAGATTGACCTAACTGCAACTAGGTTGATCTAAATGCCTAATTGTACAAGTTTCCATGGATGTTAAAAAAGACCAAAAATTGCTGGCCTGATCTAAGTTAGTTCACCTGCAGAGGTAAACTAACTTAGAGTGGGAACAGATTACCCCAATCTACCAAACACTTATATACATTTAGACTGCAGCCCGGAGGCTGGGAAGCCCAGCCACTTGCCCCAGCCCTGAGACTCTACTCTTTCTACCCCCCTGATGCCACTCCTTGACAGACAATGCCCCCCTGTGGGAAAACTAATTTCTTTTTCCCTAAAGATAACCATTCAGATAACATTATAAGGGTGTTTTTGGAAGTTACAATGAACTATTTTCCAGGTTTTTTTCTCATAATCACAGTAAGATACTTGGTACACCTGGCAATTAATAAGGCAAAGTGAATTCTTTTAAAAATGACTTGAGTCTAATTTCATGGATGGCAAAGACATCAAAGAATACCATATCTCTTCTAGGGTCTTTATAGACATTGGCTTGAAGTTTTTTTGACTGTTATAAAAACTAATATAGACATGATTTGTCTGTAATGTTGAATTCAAATTTGAAAAGGAGGTGGCCAATACGTATTAGTTAATTTGTATTGGAATACCATCCAGCTGCTAAATGCACCTGCCAATGGCACATTAGTTACTTGTGGAACAACCTGTATGTTAATATTCTGACTTCTTATTTTTCAAACCAGGTATAAATGTAACATTATACCCAACAACAACTATTACATTTTTAATTTTTACTGTATGAAGTGCATTTTTAGACATCAAATGTATGAAGAATTGTCAAATCATTTTTTAATGCATTCATTTTTGGGTGCCCAACTTGAGAAAACTTAAAGGGGCTAATTCATTGAAAGGGCTTATAATCTGCCCTCCAAGAATCAGAACCCATTAAGACACCTTAAACTGGACACAAAAATCAGTGGTCATTTCTAAAAATCTAGGCCCATTGCTGTGTTCATTTCAGTGAGTACACCTACACGAGATGCCAACTGTGCGGTAACCTGATACAACTGCACAGTAGTATCATGTGGTAAAAACCATGCTGAGACGTTACTATGCGGTAGCATTATGGTACTGTGCAGTAGCATCACTTAAAAGGTGTTTGCTGGTGCTACTGCACAGTAACTTCGTTTACTGCACATTTATTTTGTACTTGTATAGTGCAGCAGTGTCTTGTGAAGATGCGTCCAATATAAATGTATTCAGTCTGCTCACCTAAGAGTTACCATAGCTCTGAATATTTGAAACAATTTTACAAAGATTATTTGTTTTAGAATCCAGTACTGTTAGTGATGTTAGTACATCAGATACTTTTTAAAGTCATTTTCTACAATAAAGCAAAACTTCCTTTCTACCAATATGCTTGTCAGTAAGGGTAATGGCACACTGCATTGGAGTCAATAGAAAAATAGCTCCTAAAATGAAAACTCTGACTATATCTTAGTAATGTTGATCTTCAATAAATTTGCATCAATTTTGAAATTATTTCTTGACGTGAATAAGCATGTGCTTCTCCAGGTTTTTCTACAATTATGGCTTTTATAAATAAAAATGTGTATGTCACAGTATCTTATTTACTCAAATTCAAGACACCTGGAAATCTAAGACAAACCCTCCCCCCAATAATTAGATTCTAGACATAGAAAATTATAATAAATTTATACATTTTACATGTCTAGAATCTGATTATTAGAGAGTTGTCTTAAATTTGTCCTCCGTCTGCTGCAGTGAGAAAGCAGCGGCAGGAGGGCAGTGGTAGGGAAAGCAAGGGTGGGGAGGGGCAAGTGGCAAGGAGGCAAATAGTGTAGAGAGCAGGCAGAGGCCCCTTGCCACCATGTGCCTTAGTCCCCTGGTATCTGTGTCCCAGTGGCTGCCCCTCCACCACTTACACCCCTGTTTCTACCTCCCTGCCACTTTCTCCCCTAGTTACCTGGCCCCCTGCCATTTCCCCAGCTCTCTTTGACTTCCCTTTCATCACTGTCCCTGGCTGATATGAGCTGAAGGGGAGTCCCAGAGCTGCTCCTGTACCACTTCTGCTCTGTATTGCAGGGACCAGCTGTGTGGGGAGCCCAGGACAGCCAGGGACAACATCAGAGGCATGCAGGTTCCTCCAGGGAGCAGACACTGAAAGGAGAAACCTGTGTGTTGTTGATGCGGTCCTGACTGAGCTGGTCTCCCTGCAGAGCTGCACCATACAGCTCCCAGCTGGAGTGGTCTGACTCCCAACTGATGTGGGCACAGGGGAGCCCCTGAGCTGTTCCTGAGCCATGCTGCAAGGAGAAACTATGGCTGTATGTAGGTTCATCCTTCCCTGCCTAGTTCTCCTTCCCCGCTCCCACTTTTTTCTCCATTGCCATCTGGGAGCAGGCTGGAAGGAGGAACCTTCACACTGCCACAGCTTCTCCCTGCAGTCAGGGGCAGGAATGGCTCTGGAGCTTCCCCATGCCTGTGTCAGCTGGGAGCCGGACTGCTGTAGCTTGTGCTGTAGGAAATGGTTGTACAGGGAGCCTGCTCATCCAGGGACAGCAACAGTGGTGCCCAGATTCCTCCTTCCAGCATCAGCTCTCTGCTGGTGAAGATAATGGAGTAAGGGAGCCAAGTAGGGAGCACATGCTGAAAGGAGCAACTTGCGTGCTGCTGACACTGCCCCCGCCTGACCTTGGCCCCCTGGACTACCGGTCCACACAGCTCCCAGCTGTTCTAAGACAAGGCTTTATTTCCCCCATGTTTCATGGGGGAAAACCTCATCTTGGAATTGAATAAATATGATATTAGCATTTAAGATTTTACCTAAAATGATTTTTGTCACTGTAGACAGATGGGTAACTGGTAATATGGAGCCCTTTGCTCTATAATAGTGATGTAAACCAGTTAATATTTAAGCAGCGTAGTTGTTCAGATCAGTTAATAAAAATGCCAAATAAGAATTAGTTTCTAATTCATGGTACTTCCTCATCCAGTTATGAATGAGTTCATTTTTGCCAGTATGCTGTCTACAAAAGTCTATCAAATTTAATATAAAACTATAGCTCCAGTACAGCTTCTGGCTCCAGCATGGGCAGGGTTACTGTTAGTCATTTAACAGTTCTGAAAAATATATGAAGCTAAATGGAAACTGGGCTTTATGAGAGATTGGACCACATTCTGCTGTAACTTATACCTGTCTAAATTAGTAGTAATTAATAGATGGAGTTAGATGCCCAGTTCTCATTGACTACCACTGACAGCTTGCTGTCCAGTTATTCCAGGCACCTTTGAAAATCCTAGCCAAATTGTGAATTTCGTGAGAGTTTGAGATCCAGTTTTCTGAATCACTCAGCACTCCCAATTTCCACCAAAATTCATGGGAATTAAAGAGGTCAGCCCCTGCAAGCTATTAACTAGGGAACATGTTATATATGCTGTAATGTCAAAGTGGTTTTCTTTTAGTTTGTTTAGATGCCTGTACCTTGTGGTAAAAAAACAATTAAAGCTTGAATAATAACAGCAGTGCTTAAGCAGGCAGTACTTTTGTACTGGGCTGCCTTTTAGAGTATTTTTCAAATTGAATTACAAGCTAGTTCCACTGACATAATGTGTGTATATAAATGCAGCAAATATTATTGTAAAGTTATAATTAATTTAAAAATAAGTGCACCCATTTAAATCTAGTTTATATAAAATGTCTAACCTAAACAATCAAGGCTGTTCCCAAAATGACGAGATAATGCCCCAGATCCACAAAGGGACGGTTGCACAGCGATGCTCATCGTGGCCATGCTTACATTGTAAGTACCCAGTTCTAGAACTGCAGTTTACAATCCTGAGAAAGGTGCCTAAGTTCCAAA